AAAAAAAAAAAAAAAAAAAAAAAAAAAAAAAACCTGCACAGTAGGGCTTATACATTACCAGTATTCAAAGGACGAAATTGGCCAGGAGCGGTGGCTCACACCTGCAATCCCAACACTTTGGAAAGCCAAGGCAGGCGGATCACCTGAGGTCAGGAGTTCGAGACCAGCCTGGCCAACATGGTGAAACTCTGTCTCTACTAAAAATACAAAAATTAGCCAGGCATCATGGCACATGCCTGTAATCCCAGCTACTGGAGACGTTGAGGCAGGAGGATAGCTTGAATCCGGGAGGCTGAGGTTGCAGTGAGCTGAGATCACACCACTGCACTCCAGCCTGAGCAACAGAGGAAGACCTCATCTCAAAACAACAACAACAACAAAGGAGGAAACTGAGGCTGGGAGAGGTCAGTGGTAGAGGACAGAGTGACACCTAGGACTGATACCATTCAAGCCAGCAGTATCTGACACCAAACAAGCCCCCTGTTGTACTTTTCTGTATGCCAACACAGAACGCCAAGCTTCCCACAGTGCCTGTGCTGGGATATTGCTTCTCTATCCTCAGACCTCTCTCCGCCCACCTCAACCCCCTTCCATCCAGCCCTCAAGGTTGCCTTCAGCTGAGTGAAGATGAAATAAAACCCCAGCTGCATCTCTCTGATAAAAACTTCAACTGAAGCCTCATATATTTTGTAGATACTAAAGATCTCATGGCTCTTTGAAGACGAGTGTTGTATTAATCATTGTGGTTGCTCAGATTATTTCCTCGTTTTTAACATTGCTCAAGCCCTCTACCACAGAGCCACCATTTCTGTATCCAGGGTAGTGAGACCCTCAGAGATATCCTAGATTCCTCTGGATAGCCACTTCCTCCTTCCTTGCAACTTACCTCCAGCTCCAGCTCCCTAAGTCTAAGGGAATCTCCCCATTTTTAACTTTTTTACCCAAAACATGCTTAAGCAGAAATCACCTGAACGCATATTTGAATAGCATTCTGTTCTAATCCAAATATTATTCTACAAGGTCCATTTTAAAGTCTGTTTTTTCATATATCACACTGGAGGGAGAGGGGGGGAGAGAGAGAGAGAGAGAGAGAATATAACTCAAACTGAATCTGTAAAAAAAAAAAAAAAAAAAAATCATAGGGCAAAGAAAATACCTTGGTCTAATTTTTCTCCTGATTCTATAATTATTTCAAAGCCAAATACAGGTTCCTAAAGTATCAGAGTGGAAAGCAGCCCTAATGCACCAGAACGGCTCATTTCACAATTGGGGAAACTGAGGCTCGTAAGAGCAGTCATACATACACCAGTAAGGAGAACAGTTAGGTCTCTATTTGGGTCTTGCTTGGTAATATGTGAACAATGTGTCTGTTCTCAAAAGGCAGTAACTATTGCAATCAGTTAGGAACTCAAGAATAGCTGACATATGGGACCGTCCATGACTTGTCGCCAGTCCCCTTCTAGCCTGTGGGCAGGGAGATAGGTTTAGTTTGCCTGTTGTCTGCTCATCAGCACTCCTCCCCATGCAGGGGTAGAGGAAGCAAGAGGGTATGTTGACTTTTATCAAGAGCCTGCACGCTGGGCATTTAGTTTGAGCTTTCTCCCTCTACCTTCAGGCAATTGTATGCATGGCTCCAATGTGCAGGTGAGGCTCAGTCAAGGGCACTCATTTTCCTAAAGACACACACAACAGAGCCCAACAATTGATAATACTACTGTAGAGGTTACTTCAGAGGAAGGAACTATTAATGTTACCTTGGGGAGTAGGAAACAACATTCTAGTTGAATCTTCTAGGACGGGATGGTATTTGCATGCAGAGGACAATTTGTGGGCAGAGGTGCTAAGGTCCCAGTAAATATTTAGGATGGTATTTGCGCACAGAGGACAATTTGTGTGCAGAGCTCCTAAGACCCCAGTAAATATTTGCTCCATGTTCACAGTCCAGGGAGGGAGAAAATGTGCAAAGGCCCCGAGGAGAGAAGCTTTAAAACCCCACAGGAAGCTCTTTCCAAGTATTTTGCAAAGGGGATGGTTGTTCATCCCCTTCTTAGGAAATCATTCAACCTAGCCCGGCCTGCCAGCCACCCTGCAGCCAGGAGCTCTGATGTGTGCTATTATATAGAGTGCAGGAATGTGAAAGGCACTACATAAAATCAAATTCTCTTCTATTTTAAGTTGAGTGGCGCACCAGTTCAGCTTTAAAACCTAATTTCTTAAAAGTTTCAAAGGGGAAAAAAATGTTCCTTTGCAATTGGAATCGAGTCCACATAAATTAGCAGGCGAGCTCTGCGTATCCATCTTTCCGAACTTTCCTGGATTGTTCATTTTAATCAAGCGGCCCACATTCTTGACTTTTCATCCTTCACTGCCCAGAATGATGCACTGCGGCTACTGATGACACGCAAATGTTAATTTTGTTCAAGTTCAAACATCATCCAAAAAGGGCCTATTTTAAAGACTGCTTTGCAAACACCAGCTGAAAATGAGGATGAACGGAATCAAACACCGCCAAGAAATTCAGAGGAGGAAAAGCTGTGGTCTTACGGAAACTCACAAGTTTTTTTGTCTCTAGATCCTCAACCTCTCCAAGGCTGAGAGTAGAATCCTTGATGTCTAGAGCTGGAAGGGAAATCAGATTTCACCCCAGCCCTGCCCAAGGTCATTCAGTGTGGTAGGGAAGGGACGAGATAATTCAACTCTCCTCCTGGGTAAAGGAGCCTTCATAAAATGTGAAACCAGTGAAACCATGCATTTCAAGTCTTTCTGTCATTTAGTCGGTTTTGGGAACAGCAGGATACATCACACACACACACACACACACACACACAGGCACACAACAGGCTTATTTTAGAGCTCTGGCTCACCCCTTAACCAACTACCCTTCCCTCTGTCCCGTCTCCTCCAGTACCGGATGTCACTATTGCCCAGTGAGGGCACAAGAGTGACAGTTGTTCAGAGGTGCGTCAACAGGAATTGTGTACTTAAATAAGGAGAAATCAGCCAAGTTCCTATTTCTTCATAGCTGAAATTGTCTGAGACTTGGCAGCCGCTTGTTTGCCTTTGCACCCAATGAAGCTACACAAGAAAAGGACATCATCTATATGAGTCACTACCGCATCCCCCTGGAGCCTAAAACAGGGCCTTGGTGCCTCGTGAGCACCCAGTGAATATTTCTGAACAAATGAAGAAATGAAATCATTCTGGTCTATTTTTCACCAGGATCCTTCACAGCAGGACCGTACTATGGAAGGTCTCGGCATAGAGGTTAGAGATCGGAGGGTCCCTAAGACATTGAGTGCCATCTCACAGCAACATGGCCCTAGAGAATAAATCCATCTGAAAGCCGTGGTCCCAGGGATCTCAATGGCCTTGCCTCTAGAACACCAGCCACATGTAAACAAGCCATCAGCAGTGACAAGGACCAGTTTCCGTGGCCCATCGGACTAAACTGTTCACAGTGGCGGCCCATCTTCTGAAAGAACAGAAGAGACACTTCCACTGCAACGTCAAGAAAAAAATGACTGTCGCTATTCCCTGAGCGATAACAGCCGCTCTTGAAATGCAGGACATGTTTCATTTGGCTTATAATAATTGTGTACTGTCTTTTAACCCTCAAAGTGTTAAGTATTGTCATATCCTCTGGGGATGAAAAGATCTGGGGTTAACAACTTTCTCTTTTAAAAATTCATAAAGGTGCAAATAAACAGCATTGCATCCAGTGGCTATGCATTGCAAGAAGCCAAGGGAGAAAGAGGGAAAAAAAAGACGACAACAACAACATTACCCCCCACAGGATACTTGGCAATTAACTGCAGCTATGTCAGCAATTTTTTGAAAAATTTCCTAAACATGGAGAAGACTCATCCTCACCATATGAAAAACAAAGCTACTGCAGTGACTCTCCCATGCATTACAATGTGTGTGTCTTACTTCTTAACCAAGCCGCTAATCACGCAAATTATTGCAACTAATTACATTTGAAGGTCTAATTAATTCTTTCAGTACCACATCATTTAGTACGCATTCACAACACAGCACCTGTTTTGAAAATCCTTGCAGTTAATTTGTTTATAAACAAACACTATTTGCATAAAATGTTTAATGAATGGTTTAACAGTTAGTACAATACTCCAGTTTTGTCTTCGTAGATCTGAGGTCATCGAAGGCCACGATAAATTAATTTTAAACTATACAAATTAATTTAAATAGAATGTGTGAATTTCTCATTAATAAAGAAAACATTTTCAACATGTTAATTAATATCTCTGTAACAGGCTAATTACTTCCTGCACAACAAGTACATCTTACAAGCAAACCTGAAAGATTTGGGGGGCAAAGGGGTGGGGACTGTTTTAAAACTGCAAAACAAAAAGTGCAATTCAGGAAAAAGCACACGCAGCCCGATTATACTGGAGAATTCACCACTTAGGACAGGCAAACCAAGAAAAGAAGCTATTGCCTTATGTTACAAATACAACACGTTTTAGTCATCGAGAATGGGACGGTTGAAAACCGTTTCTATCACAGGTGCAGTTACGCTGCAAAGATGGTTAGATGATGTCTGCCTTCTGGTAGAAAGACACAATTAATGAAAATATTAGCTCTCAGAGTGAAGATCTCTCCTTTGAATGTAGGGCATATTAGCTGTGTTTGTAACCCAATGGTAAATACGGATTTCATTAAACAAATCTGCATCTTCACACCAGTGTCTGAGGCTCAGCCATCATCATTCTCCCCGTGGCAAACCATGGAAAGACACTTCATGTAGAAACTAAAGAGGAACAACATTATAGCCCAATATCAAGCACAGCCCTTGCAAAAGCCGTCACTGAGATATGTTCACCCTTAAGTTTGTTTCTGATTTGCAAGCATTTTCACATTTGATAAGCACCTGTTGTAAATTTACATCCACGCAGGAAGTATTCTTATGCTAGGGAGCTGAGAATTGTAAAGCATGTTTATACTCTTACCCTTGTGTGGTGTTGCCCCTTAATGCACAGGCTGATAAAATGACTAGCTACACAGGACCCAGAGGGATGTGCCGCTCCACCTGGTTCCCGCCGCATCTGCCCCCAAGGAGCCACTAGTCCTTTCCTCCTGGAACAGGTTTTGTCAGCACTGATCAACAAACACTTGGTTTTTGTTTTAAGTTTGTTAATTTGGAGAGGACGTGGAGAGACGGGGGAACAAGGAGGGGAGAGAGAGAGAGAAGGGAGAGAGAGAGAGAGAGTGTGTGTGTGTGTGTTCAGGGTGTGGGGGTAGAACGACAGAAAGACAAAAGGAAGCACAAATACAGACTTCCCAACACTTCTCTGGGACCTGCCAATGTATTTCCAAGAAAACAATGGAAAAAATAGTAGGAGTTCCATCCTGATAGCACCAGGGGAAAAGAAGAATTTGCCCAACCTCTGATTGGACCCAGATTTCCAGGGTGGTGCTGCTCCTCGTTACAAAACACTTGGCCACCTGGCCCCTTGGTCCTGATATTTCCTTGGAGGTGTATATAGAATAAGATTATCCCAAGCACCTTGCCCCCAAACTACCCCGGTGAACCCAGTACGGTGTGAAAATCCCTTTGCTTTACTCTTTTGCCAGATAAATGCCAGCCAGCATCCCTGTCTCTGGGGCCCTGGAGAGGCCTTCAACACACCTGGTCTCACTGCCCTGTGGCTTCAACAAAGAGGCTGAGCATCTCCTATAACCCTCGAGGTCCATGAATGACGTAGCGGAGTGATGGATTTCAGAAAAGGCAGGTGCTTCCCACTCTTTACATTTTTTTTTATTCTTTCCAAGTTTCCCATCAACAGCCCTGCAGTAAAAATCCAGGGCTTCAGAGACAAACATTTCATGAGTACAGACTGTGATGAGGAAAAGCAAGCCTTCCCTCTCTATCTATCAGGACCCTGGTGCTTTGCTCTTAAAATGAAAAAAAAAAAAAAAAAAAAAAAAAAAAACAGTGATAACGGT